GTCAGCGGTGTTCTGCGACACACATGAACGATTTTTCGATCCCGCGCCCAATGCTATCAAAGTCTTCCATCGTTCCGGAGACGGTGAATTGGAACCAGATTTGATACTCACATGTAGACGTCGGTGAATCAAAACCGATCTCATTCGTTGTACAGGAACTTTTCATAGGAATACCAGTGAGCATTCGAAAGCTCTAATCTCTGGCTAGAGCTCCACATCGTTGGTTTTTTAAAAACCATTTTATTACGCTGTAAAATTCAGAATAAAATCTTGTTCCACTCGACCACGTATTTTTTCTTATCTCGCTCATATTTTGCTGGACAAAACTCTTCCTTAGAGTGCTAATACCCATTGGATCGCACAAGTCTCGAGTAACTCAAAAATGTGTTTGCTTTTTAGAAAAGCTCTTTTAGTAGCGCTGTAAGAGAAAGAAAAGATCTGTGCTTCACAACTCCCCGGACAAGGCTCTTTCTCTAGACTATCAAAAATTGTTTGATTTGGTAAGTTCATTTCAATGTTGTGCTTATTTAATGGAAATACCGTTTGCAAGAAAATCGATCAAGTTTCACATTTTCGACGAACTTGTTTAGCGGTCAGTCCATGAGGTTGGAAGAGGGGCAGTTGGTGCCCGAGCCGTTGGAGTATGTAGCGAAAAATTCTCTACGCGGTGGTATGCTTTTCGTGCTTCCAGCGAATTAGACTCGTGATAAAAATGAAGACAACGGCGGGTGTGAGACAATTTCATTTTGAATTTGACTACAGCGTTATATAAGAGTGTTTAGAAAAACCCACCACGTTGAGCTGTAGCCATAAATTCGAATGATTACTAACACTCCTATGAGAAGTTCCGGTCCAGCGAATGAGATCGAATTTTAATTTGTCGTTGTCTAGCATATATGCACCCAGATTTATCGAGTAGGATAGCAACACTGACTTTATACCCCCGTAGCTACTTCGAGGGATTTGAGGCGAGATATGCATTGGATCACCTCAAACGATGCTAGATCAAGGCCACTGCATGGCACATTCCTTATGGATTGATCAGTGGCTGGAGTTTTATCCCTTTTTATCCGTATAAAAAGATATTCAGGGGACTATGGAAGAACGGATATATAACGGCAGGTAATAAAAGAGTCGACTTCCATGCGTGTTGTCGACGAAGCTCAAATCCAACGGCACTATGATGGTCAAGATCTTGAAGAGCTCTATAGGTGCGTTTTTTGTCTTATTTATTAGTTTAACACGGAGTGTGGTCATACATATGTTTTCTAGGTTCAATCCGAGCGAGTTAGATCCAAACGATGCTAATAAGCGTCCCAGCTTCGCCCCACCGAAGGTGCAAGCGATGTTAGATCTTACGATTTGGGTTGAATCCAAGCTGATTGTTTTTTGTTAAGGATCGTCTGCTCGCTGAAATCTTACTGTCGAAGAAGGACGCGGTAGTCGACTATTTTCAACATGATACATTGTTTGCACACTTAGAAGAAGAAAAACTGTCAGAAGAGGAATTGAAAGAAGCGTGGAATGAATACGAACGTGATAAGGTTGGAACCGTGAAAGTTAATATTCCAGAATCTATGTCTCTGAAGTTCTGAACAATAGGAAATCACCACGGTTGCATAGTTCTTTTCTCTTGTAACCGCATATTTGACTCTACCATTGCATTGACATTATCTACAATAGTCTAATTTTCCAGAACATGAGTGCCTACGGTCGCTCGGCCGGTTTTAGCGCAGCAATGATCGGTGGGACATCAGGAATGGCCAATGTGGGGGCTATGCAATTAGCACACCAGCAGCTTCTGCGAAATCAGGTATTACTCTTACCTCATTTAAAACGTTGGGTACCGTGTGGAGTGTTTAGGAATTTTAGAGGAAGCATTGACGTATTCCTACTGCCAGCCTTATCCAAGTTTCAGTTAAATTCTATCTTCGAGTGACTGTAAATTCCTTTTAGTGACGATATAGGTCTGAATCTTATTCGAATCCTACGACAGTATGATATAAATGCGCCCCATCTGCAAGTCGATCGCTACCGCTGGCGCGCAAAATGTAAAGGCGGTACCGAAGGGTCAATTTTGGTCCACGTTGTATTGCACTAATGATCTTGTCTTCATGAAATTTCTTGTGGACTCATTGTTTGCTCACCTACTGTTCATTTGTTTGAATCATAGGGTTAAAATACTACAGAAACAGTTTCAAATAAGCTTTTTTTTCAACTAAACTGTTTGAAAACATTAATTTATTTAAGTCTCTCATGAATCATTGAGTCGACCAGGTGCCTATAGCCATCTTTTGTGCGCCATGCCTAAGTTGCCTGCTGGGCTTTGTTTCGTGAGGGTAACCCCTTTTTCACATTTGGGATCCTACATTTCAAGTATATGGCCAGTTCATGAGCTGTTTCGGAGTACATTTCGTAGTTAGCCCTGTTTGAATGTGTAGGCTTAACCGCGAGAGCTGTAAAATTTCTATTTGATCTGATTCAAGTCACTATAGGAGGTTATTTATTAGCAGTTAACACAAGCAATGCAGAACAATATGTGTTTATTTGAGGCCATCCTGCAAATGAATCGTGATATTGTGTACGTTAGTTGCTTCAACATCCCATATATGGACAATGACACAGCTACAAAGGTATTGTTTATTCGAGTCTAGTCGAGTTAGGAGCCTAAGTTTATCAAATTACAGGTTACGTATCTAAAACAAGCACTCGAACGATTGCTGCCAGAGATCCCACCAGGATTACGCGGTGATGTTGCCGAGTTCAACTCGTATTTCATGGGTTTCATAAGTGTGAGTTTGTTTGACTATCATTTGTGTATTTTCGCATGTAGGACTAAGTACAATATAGGGTGAAAAACTAGTTTCTGAAGTCATGCTAGTTTACTGCTGTGTATATTCAGGGCTGGAGTTCTTATTGAATGGTTATCGTAGGACGTCTTATAGTCACTACCTAGCGCTTGATTCCGTCTCTTTGTTTGAGGATTTCGTTCTTATGGATATCGTGGAATACTTATCAGGCAGATCATCTCCCAATCGTAAGGATAGCCAGGCCGAAATGTTCCTTAGGGTGATTTCCGGAGTGTTGAGGGGATCAATCCCACACCGAACGTCATTAATTACTCGGCGACAGTATTCCTGACCGCGTATATTATCAAAATAATGGGATTAGATACGTCAACATCATTAACTTGAAACTGCATAATTGTTTAGATCAATAGGATATCATCTGCAAGAGAGATCAGTTCTATTTTGAACTCTAATCACAAATTATCCTTAGTTTTTTCCGAGTGGTCAAAGTTTTCTTAAACTCAAACATCCAATGCCTTTTAGATGAAAAAAGTATTGTTTTTAGCAAGCTGTGAACGACCGGCATAATCCGGCTTGGTTGCTGAACCGAGCCGTATCCACTTTCCGCGTTGTGGTGAAATTGGTGAAAGATGTACCAAGTTGCAAGACTACTTTACGTCAACTTTATGCTTCAACGAGTCAGTTTTTCGACCCATCTGAAGCGCCTCCGTAAAGTTCGTCCAGATAACGGTATTTGAGTGTTTGAAATGTATAAGTGCTTCTTAACTGGTGCATTGATTCCGTTCAATTATGTATCTACGATGATCGATATGAGCTTTTTCTCGCAGATGATGGATTCTTGCATTTCTTTCTCGAAATGTATATGTACACATTCCTTACGGAGTTGTTCACTGTTGTTTCCTTTGAGATATGTTCTACGATCTGACATGTAAATAGTTCTTCGTCTGGGACTAGATTTGTTATATATCGCTGTGTAGAGACTTTATTTTGAAGATCTCTATGAACTAGCTTACTTCAAACACTTTAATAAATATGAGACCAGGCCGCAGACGGTTGGCTGTTGAAAGATAACGCGTTGTAGCGTAGAAAGAGTGGTGTCAAAACGGGCGTCCGGTAGTGCAACGGTTTAGCACGCGCTCCCGGAAAGAGTGAGATCTGAGTTCGAATCCTAGCTGACACGAATGTTTTTGCACATCACTCCACATTATTGGGTTTATGGGATTGTAGTTATTATTGTTATATCGATGTGAAGAAGCTCACTGCTGCTGCAAACACTGGGTATTAAAGTTTATCTTAATTTATTTCGTAAAGCGTAACGAAGCGCCAACCAAGCTGTTCCTAATATGATTGCCAATGCTAAGGCGGCTTGTGAAGAGTGGACATGAAGATCTGAACATCCTCATCCTGGTTCAAATCTTACTCGTTTTATCACTTCAAAGAACCACTGGAGAATCTATCGAAGGTTCTAGGGCACAGAAACATTCACATCGAACTCACAGCGCTTGATTTGGTCAAAAATAACCAGACGGTGAGCTCCACATGACGGGCAAAATCGATCGTATGGCCTAAACAGTAGTGTTTCATTAGTTGGTCCCATAAGTTTTGGTACCACAGCAATAAACTCCAAGTTTATTGAAAAAGTAATTAACATGGACGATTTTGATATCGTTCCCTTGTGGATTTTCTTGCGAAATTTTTGGCATACGACTTGCCTATGTTTGCTTCAATATGGAGCTGTCTTAAGAACAAATTTCTTGCTACTCATGAACGAATGGCGCGTAGGGAAAATGTCAGTGAAGCGTCGCGCGAGATTAGATGAAGCTTCATGTGAACGGCCCGAACGCGACTGATCCTTCAGACTGATCTCTCTAGCTTTGAACTTCGCGAACACTTCCTAGCTGTCCTTTTTGCGGCCGTATCATCGCCTCCTAGCTCGATTAGTCTTCCGCACCGCTTCACTAGCATTATTCCCTACGCGCCATTCGTGTATGAGTAGTAAGCGAGTTTGTTTCCACGACAGTTCCATTTTAAAGCAGTATAGGCAAGTTGCATGCCAAAATATTTGCAAGACAAGGTGCAATTTAACAATACCAAAGTTTATAGAACGACCTAGTAGTCAAGAAAATATGAAGAAAAAAGTGTGTGGAACAAAAGTAGCGAACCTGATTTTCTCTCGGCAGTTTCGACAAGCGATGGTGAATTGGTATCCACATTGACGACAAAATTTATCCTTAGTGAAACGATTGTTTATGAACAAACATAGGTTTTGAAATGGACATAATTTTCAAGAAGCCAATTTTTGTCGATAATATTAGAACCCCACTACGAAGACCTTTCGCGATAGTCATGGGGTTAGCTTCAGGATAACCTTTAGAATATTAAAACCACACAGTACCATATAATCGAATCTTATAGAAATAGATTAGCTTAATTCGTCGAGGCCTACTCCATGGTGCCTTCCTCGTATTAAGCGCATAGCACAAAGTTGGTAAAATGAATTTATTGCGCCTCGGTGGTGTAGTGGTAGAGCAGGCGTCCCTTAGTAGAATGAAACGCGGGTTCGATTCCGCCTGGGGCCGTGTTTTTGCTCACCACTCAGTTCTCTTAGGTTCGTACGAAACCATAACACTGCAAAAAATGCAGTAAAAATTTTCGAGTAAAATCTATTCAGCAAACGTTTCGAAGTCTTCGTCTATTTCACAAGCGATGACTATGAGAATCAACTCGAACCATGACCTTTCCAAATTACGAAGACGTAGAAACGTTAGCCGTTGATCTTTCACCAGATTCGCGCTATGTGCTTAATAAACAAAGGATATATGATTGATTGGGTGCGTTATTGGGACCCATTTTCAACCTTTTGAGAAGAAGGCCTTTTTCATTGTTTCCTCAGACTTTCGATAGTAATTAGGTAGCTTGAAATTCGATGATTTCAAATAAAATTTCTGTCTTTGAAAAGCCTGGTTAGAGCGTTGTAGAAGCAAAAACTAGAGTACGTTTCACACGCGATGCGCATTTTTTGCTTGGCGACGGTCTGCAGATGGATTTATCAGACTTTAAAGTTTTTTGATATTATGAATTTTGATGACTCTGAAGATGAGTTTAGTTTTTGAGAAGGTATTCATTGAGAAGGTATTTTGAGAAGGAGAAGGTATGCATCATACCACCGTTAAGAGCGGTTAAATGAACAGGATTCTGTTTAATCATCAAATACCCAATATCTGTCAGCGTTACTGAGTTCAATGCCGACAGTGACTACCTAGACCCAATATGTGGCGTACTGTGCAAAAGCGTTTGCGTCAGCCGGGATTCGAACCCAGATCTCACTCTTTCCGGGAGCGTATGCTAACCGTTGCACTACCGACGCTCGTTGTTGCACAGCACTCTTATTTTACGCTACAACGCGTTGTCTGCCAACAGCCAACCGTCGATGGTCTGGCGGGGAAGCCGCTATCGGCACTGAACCCACGTGCGTTGACAGACGGGTACATATATTGGGTGTACTATAAGATCATACCACTGCAAGTGGCAGTCAAAATAGACAGAATTTAGACTGATTATCGATATCCAATGTCTGTCAACGCAAGTGGGTTCAGTGCCGTTAGCGGCTTCCCCGCCAGACCGTCGACGGTTGGCTGTTGGCAGACAACGCGTTGTAGCGTAAAATAAGAGTGCTGTGCAACAACGAGCGTCGGTAGTGCAACGGTTAGCATACGCTCCCGGAAAGAGTGAGATCTGGGTTCGAATCCCGGCTAAGGCAAACGTTTTTGCACAGTACTCCACATATTGGGTATACTATAAGATCATACCACTGCAAGTGGCAGTCAAAATAGACAGAATTTAGACTACCTAGACCAATCCGTTGTCGATTGGTTGCTGACACATAGATGCGTTGTAGCGCATCAAAAGTGGTGGGAAAACAGACGTCGGTAGTGCAACGGGTTAGAGCAGACGCCTTCGGATAGGTAAAACGCGGGTTCGATCCCCCATGAACACAAAGTTTTGCACATCACTCTGCATCATTGGTTATCACTGGTTATCACACACCGCTAAAATTGGCTAAGTAGAAAGAATTCCCATTTTATCACCCATCGTGGAGCGCTGCTAAAGTGAGAAGAAGAATACGTCCAGCACTCGGAGTAGTTAACCCGTAGCTTCGACTTCATAGTGGGTTTATTTGGCAATATAGGATGGAAACAAAAGTTTAGGCCCATAGTTTTATGGATCAGAGTTTATTCCACAATTCTAGTAAGGAAAAAGCTTAAAACTATTACGAAACGAAGAAAAGAACTGTCAATAAATAGCGAAGCTCTTGAGGCGACTTTGAGTGCGCTGCGTACAGCGCGATTCGAGCGAAAGAGGGTGAACTGCGCGACGAAGAAGAATACGTAATCTATTTTCCCTGCTACAGCGCACTGATAAGGTCTTTTCAGAAACCAGACAAACTTTTGAAATCACTGAGAATTAAGCTATCGCATGACTACTCATAGTCTGCGAAAAAAGAGTAAGCGAATCTCCAAGGGTTGAAAAACGGGTCACGATGACGGAATTGTAGCGTTGATGGGTGATGGAAAAGCTAAAGGAAAGTCGGTTTTCAAACTATTTTTGGGATTTCCTACATTTTAAATGCTTTTCGGCAGTGTTCTGCTGGTTCAAATGCACTTATGTGAAGTGGGCGATGAGTAAAAATTCGACCTTAGAGGAGAGCTGAACCCGCGTTTCTCCCATATCAGGAACATTGAAGAATGAGTAGTATCAAAACGGTGCCTCCGTGGCGTAGTGGTAGCACGCTGCCCTGTATATGTGAAACGTGGGTTCAGCTCCGGCCTGAGGTCAAGTTTTTGCTTATCACTCAATTCTCTTGGGTATATTTTAGGATTTTCACTAAGAGTTACGTAGCATCCATTTTGCAAGATTATAGGAATAAATTGTACGATTATAGAAAGATTAGGGTTATCTAGCATCTATTTTGTAAGATGATGGGAAAAATGCTTTTTCGCATTGTTCTGCTGGTTCAAATGAACCTATGTGAACTGAGTGGTGAGCGAAAATTGGACCTCAGACGAGAGCTGAACCCGTGTTTCACCCATATTAGAAACATTGAAGAATGAGTGGTATCGAAACGCTGCCTCTGTGGCGTAGTGGTAGCACGCTTCCCCTCTATGTGTGAAACGTGGGTTCAACTCCGGGGTGAGGTCAAGTTTTTGCTTATCACTCAATTCTCTTAGGTACAGAAAAGAGCTCTAACTTCGTCTGAGGTAATCGAATGCCTATTTGGCCTTTACAATGACTCGCGGTGGCCTACCGCTGAACCGAGTCAGTGCTGCTTATCCTCCCAGACGAGTCTGAGACTAGTCTGGTACCAATTTACCGAGCCCGGAGGGATGGATGGCTTGGTGAGCCATGAGCGCGAGATCGAACCATTGACCTTGTGTACACCTCTAACCACTGCGCCACATGCTCTCTTAGTATATTTTAGGAATTTCACTTAGAGTTATTTAGCATCCATTTTACAAGATCATGGGAATATTATAGGATTATAGGAAGATTATGAGCGCATGTGGCGCAGTGGTTAGAGGTGCCCTGCGTCGCACACGAGGTCAGTGGTTCGATCTCGCGCTCATGGCTCACCAGGCCATCCATCCCTCCGGGGTCGGCAAATTGGTACCAGACAGGTCTCAGACTTGTCTGGGAGGATAAACAGCACTGACTCGGTGCAGCGGTAGGCCTCCGCGAGTCAATGTAAAGGCCAGATATGCATTCAATCACCTCAAACGAAGTTAGAAATTGAAGTCGAATGCATGGCGCATCCCTCAGGGATTGATCAACGCCGAGAGCTTTATCCTTTATCCTTTTATAGGAAGATTAGGGCTATTTAACATCCATTTTGTAAGATTATAGGAAAACATCTCAATGCACAGACAAATCGGTCTTATAATCCGTGAAATAATTCAATTATAATCCTCCTCCTCTAAAGATTTTAGCTTGTAAAATAAATCTAAAAAAAAGTAGTGCTGAGGTTTACTCACCATGTTGTTCTCTGGCAAAGCATTACAAGCCGGGCAGAGAGCATAAATGTTCGAATCGGCTCCACTCGATACATTTCCGGGCATATTTCATCGACGAAGATTCCTCACAATTGAATGTTTGTCTATTCAGGAACTAAATGTTATTAGAAAGAAGAATGGAGGATGAATGATCAACGTGTTGTTCAAAAAAACGATTTCTGCAAAAATAAATCTCATAAACGATCGGAATCGAGTTTTTAGACGAGTCATAAGAAGCGGAAAAATTCAAAAAATGAGAAATTTTCCGAAGTAAGCTGAGTTATGGTAATTTCACCAAAGTTTTCGTGCCCTAATCAGGATTTAAAGGACTTGGCGGGATTTGTCATTTTTGTGAAAACTCGTACTACTTCGGTTGGGACGAGTGGTCGTTCCAGGAAGAAGTCTGTACCCAACGGTTCGCGCCAGATCCTCTCTCTCCCTTCATTCCCTTCCCTCTATGAAGGCGAACAGCTCATCTGCTCATGCAGACGCCGCCATTCTATCGTCTACATCGTTAACTCGTTGACGACCGTATGTACCGTTTTCGGTACAGGGCTTGCGCCACGCTCGCACCGGCCACGGAAGGCTGCCGCTGGTTCGTTTCATCACGCCTTTTTATGTAAATAGAAATTTATTTGTTGATTGAGGTTTTAAGTAGTTAAGGTAGTTTTTCCGGCATTTCTTGCGACTTTACGTTTGTTTCAGTCTTGAATCCTGACGTGATTCGAGAGAAATTATCGGGGAGAGATTGATATCGAATATAAATCTAAAATTCGCTTCTCTCTGATTAGGAGGAGAAAAATGAAAAACCAACCTCATTCGCTGGAGAGAAACTTTTCATAGAAATGGTGATAACCATTCGAAAGCTGAGATTTCAGGCTACAGCCCCATCTCGCTGGTTTTCCAAAACATCCTTTTATAACGCTGTAAAATCCACACAAAACTAGCGCATATTTTTCTCCACGGAGCTCTGTCTTGGACAATTAGTAATTGTAATACTTCGAAATTATAATGTTTCTATTGCTTTTTTCGCAGTTATGATGTTACTTATATAACTAGGAGAATTGAGTGGTTTTAGTGTAGTTTTTTTTTTTGCTCACCACTCAGTTCTCTTTATTAGTAATTATTCGATTACATAATCGAAGTTGATTCCAACGCTGTGCTTATATCCCAAAAGACGTTTCTCCGCGACGCAGCAGGTAAAATAAATTGGATGCAAAAGTTCGACTTTCTATAAACCTTGGCATAATCAACTGATATATGAAAGTCGAGAGAACGTTTTTGATTAGCTGACGCGAGGTTGGTAAAGTAGTCGTAATAGTAGTTCAGGTGACTTTTTGCCGACTCGCCCTCTTCAAAGCCTGGGCGTATGTAGTATTAGTCTATTTCAGTGATTCGTAGATCTTATTTATATGCTGCCTAGGTCAAGTTAGAAGATCGAACGAAAAAGGGCGCGAGTTCTCGTGAGATGGTGGCGTATTCGTCCTGGGTTCATTTCGGGATTTTGAGCGTTTATCTAAAATGCCTCAAGAGTCTTGCGCGTGGATGTTTGTGATTCCTGCGCTAGGATTGTGACAGTCACGTCAAAATCGTTGTTGTTATGTTTTGTGCCCTGTGTAAACCTAAAGGTTTGGTTTCATCTCTTTTAGATTTGCTATCTAAATGTTCTTTTATGCGGATGAAATGTGGTCTACCCGTTTCGCCTACATATTCTTGCCCGCTGCCTTACACTCAGCAAATAAATTCCCGATCTCATACAATCCTCTTCTTTTCCGTTAGGGCAGATCATACAGTTTTTGGTGTTGCACAATCGATCACAAAGTCTATTGCGGATCAGCTAATGGCGTAGCGTGGGAGGTGGGATTTCGATACCTACCACGGAATTTTCAAGACCGCGTCTTTTTAGGCGCCTTTTAACCGCGCTGCTGATTTCGTGTGATATAAATGGCAGTTTAAAGGGAATTCCATTCAAGTGTGGTGTCTTGTTCTTTCGGGACCTGAGATGCGTCCAGAACGAATTGTTCTCCTACATAAAGAAATTTGTGTCAAAAGAACATTATTGTGCTCAGTATCTGGAGAAACGTCTTTGGTGGAGTATAGTAAGCGAATCAATAGCTGTATGAAAATCGAGAAAACTTATCTTGATTAGCTGACGCGAGGTTAGTAAATTAGTCGTAGAAGTTCGGCTGACATTTCGGCGACCCGCCTTTCAGAACCTGGGCGTAGGTAGTATTAGAGTATTTGAATTACTCGAATGGTCTTATTTATATGCTGCCTATAGTCCAATACTACATACAACCAGGCTCTGAAGAAGGCAGGTCGCCGAAACATCAGCCGAAATTCTTCGACTAATTTACCAACCTCGCGTCACCTAATCAAGATAAGTTTTCTCGATTTTCATACAACAATTAATTTTCCGAGGTTTATAGAAAGTCGAATTTTTGATTGTATTACGTTGCTCCGAGTGCTGATTGAACACTTTTTCTCAGTCCAAATCGAGCAGTCTCCGAATTCCGGCCGGCGAGGATCGCTTGATCTCCGCATCACGGTGGTGGCTGTCTGATCTCCAATGTGTGGCTAGCGGCGATCGCTTGATCTCCACTGTCCGGCGGTGTATGTTTGATCTCCACTGTCCAATGACGACTGTTTGATACCCGGTCTGCGGCCGGTAACGATCGCTTGATCTCTCTCGCGGGGGCGGCTGCTTGATCTCCAATGCCCGCCCGGCCTTGATTTCTTGATTTGAATGTAGGGCGAGGAAGTATACAAAGCAAATGAATGGAATATGAAGTATTGTATAATTGGCATTCTGTTGCCTCTAATATGATTGATTAGAGACTATTTATATCCAATAATGTTGAGTGACAAGCAAAATTTTCAGCCTAGGCCAGGAGCTGAGCTCGCGTCACACCCTTTCGTAGGGCGTATGCCAGTCGCTGCACTATCGGTGCTCCTGATCTGCTGTCACTTTCCAATAGAGGCTATTTCCATGGAGCGGCATTTTAATGTTCTCATGGTTTAGTTACTTTTCATTGTAACTTAATAATGAAAATTCTTAGCGATCGGTGGTGTTAAAGTGTTACGAGTCTAAGGGCTTTTCGGGGGTTAGAATTTTTATATAAAATCTATTCTGTGGTCTCGTGTCTGAAGAATTTTACCCTATTTACTGATATGGGGCAATCGACTTCACCAAATGCTTGATCTACTTTGACTTTATTACATGATCTCTGGAGTTCAACTTGGAAATGTTATGACAAGATGAGATAGACAATCCTTTCTAATCGATTTTGATTATTTCTGTATCAGCTACAAAGAAGTCTCTATCATAGGATAATACTACTTCGCTGCCATCGACGTCAAACAGCGAGTCATCCCCAGTAATCCAGAACCAAGACCTCAATTAATCTACTGCCAGGTCAGTTTGTTCGCAATCTGTTAGTGCACAGACGAAAATCTTCTCTTATTAGGATTGTTTGCTACTGTTTTTTTTCTAGCCCGTACATGGTCAAGAGCCCAGTGTTGATGAAGCAGACACAGAAAGCTTAAATAGAGGTAAGATCTTTCCAAAAGATTATTATATCTAACTATTATAGCGAAAATCTGCGGCGCAGAAAACGTAAGTTTAGCTAAAGCATCGTTGCCGACAGCGGAAAGTTCAAATCATTGGACTAACTTACATGCGGGGAAATGTTCGAACTAGCAGATGGGCTCGGCATCCACTTGAGAACTTGAGAACAAACTCTCTGTACTCGACGTACAGTGAAACAATCACTGTGCCGTTCTCTCAAAATGTCGTGTAATTGGCTGTTCATTGCATGACGTACTGACTGTTATGTGCGCATATTTAACAAACATCGCAATCGACTATTTTGATACTTCGCTCAAGAGCGATGTAATCTGACAATATGCCTGACAACTACGAGTTATTTTGGAAGATCGATTTTTTAACCTCAGCATCGAAATAACTATGTTAATATCAAAGCTCGTACTTTTAGTTGGCGAGAAGTTGGTAGTTGTTGTTGAGTAGGTATAGATCCCGTACGATCGTAAGCTGACATTTCGGCGACACCGCCTTCTGCAGAGCCTAGACTTGCACTATATCATTATTCTTCTTTGTCAATAAGGAAATCGATACCTAGCCATCACTCTTTTTATCTATTTAGAACATTAAAAGCGCACATAGTCCAAGTCTCGTGCTGTATTGACACATTCGTCCTCCGTTTATTTTTGGGTTTTTAGCTTTTATCTAGAACGCTTCGAGAGTTTCGTGCACTGACGTTTTTAACTCCCGTGGATCGTGGCAGTTACTTCAAAGCTCGCCATTATAGCCAACATGCATGTGTCTGTTAATGAGCTCTTGTACAACCCAATACTCGTGTTTAGGCTTTAAGCAGCGTCATCGGTAAAGCTGGCCTGGTCAATCCTCTCGGAGTGCTCCATTCCTTCTACTTAGAGCAGGCGACGAGGAACGATTCACACAGTTGCCGTCAAGTGAAAAGTCACTAAATTGACAGGTATCTGCACTCGCTTGTTCATGACTGTTATTTTGAAATATTAAAACCGTTCGTTTCGAGTCATTTTTTTAAGACTACGCTCAGATTCCAACATATCTCATAATTATTATTATAGTCAGCATGTCATGTGGTCTGTTAATGAGGGACTGGAGCATTCCGAGAGGATTGGCTAAAGACGAAGTACTCTGCCCAACTGACCAAGCTGCTTAATGCCGAAACACGTGTATCGAGCTGTACATGAGCCCATTAACAGACTACATAACGTGTTGTTTTAGTTAATAATTACGAGATATCGAAAATCATCTTATTCGACCGCCTATTGCAGTGTTATGATGTTTCAATAAACTTAGTGATGTGGAGTGGTGTGCAAAAACATTTGCGTCGACCGGGATTCGAATTCAGATCTTACTCTTTCCGGGAGCATGTGCTAAACCGTTGTACCACCGACGCTCGCATCATTGGGTTTATTAAAAGATTATAACAGCGCAATAGGTGGTCAATAAAATGATCTCCGATTGATTATTGAAACCCAATACCTGTCAACAAAAGTGGGTTCAATGTCGATAATGACTGTCCCACCACACCGTAGACGGTTAGCTGTTAACAGATAACGCGTTGTAGCGTAGAAAAAGTGGAGTGCAAAACTAGCGTCGGTGGTGCAACGGTTTAGCACATGCTCCTGGAAAGAATAAGATCTGGGTTCGAATCCTGGCTGACGCAAACCTTTTGCACACCACTCTACATCATTGGGTTTTTCATATTATGAGGTACATTGAAAGAGCGTGGTTTTGAGAAAACGCTCGAAACGAATGGGTGTATCATTTCAAAATCATTATCGCCATGCTTTTGTGCCATGTGCCTATCTGGAGGAGTACTCAGGTCGATTTTGGATTTCCTATCTAGATGTTATTTTATGCGAAAATGAAGTGGTCTACCGTTTCACCAATATATTCATCTCCGCATGCCTTATATGTTATTAAATACATTGTGCCGGGACTCATACAACCCCCTTCCTTCTGCTGTAAGCAGATTTACGCTCTTCTGAGTAGCACAGTCGGTCGCGTATGCAATTGCTGACTAGTTAACGGCGTGGAGTTGGAATGGAAGTTCGATCATCGTCACCAAACTTTCAAAACCACTTTTTCTGGCACTTCTCGATAGCGTTACTAACTTCGTTCGATATAAAAAGCAGCTGAATGCGATCGTATTAATGTGCGAGGTTTTAATTTGAGGCGTCACCTTATCAAGTGAATTGACCCGAGTGGCTGGTGTATCGTACCTGTTAGATATGACTATTTCCGTTCCAAGTTTAGCTATGTTTTCCTCTCCTAGTTTCCTGTGCATACATTTCCAGCAGTTTGGTTTATGTTTTTGATGTGTGCTTTTTTCAAGTGTAATGAGAGGTAAGGTACTATTACGTTTTTCTTGCTTGGCTTCCGGTCCCCTTGTGCTAAAGCCACTTTCTTAGAATTTTATCCTGGTGTTCAATAACGTAGCCAGTTTTCTTTTAGACTTTTTCGCGTAAATTTGATGTACTCTGACTGCTTATTTAAGGCTTCGAAACATTTGTACACTTCGTGCTGTGTGAAACAGACAATGGAACAGTCGATTGTATATCTGACAGTAAAGTAGGAGCCGGCGAGCGGGAAGTGGAGCTTTTTTCTTATGCATCTAGGCGATGGCAAAGCATGGTGGTGGTCTCCGATCCATGGCTAATCCCCTAATTTGCGCAAAATATTTTCATGAGCACCTAAATATTGAACAATTAAGACACTGTGAATTAATTGGCAACTTATTCAGTACAGTGGATAGTGCCCTGTGTTTCAACGGTTTCGCCTCTTTCCGACCTCCAAATAATCAGATCGACGTGCAATCTACATAGCTAGACACCTTCAAAACCAAAGTAGATGCACCTTCAGCGTAAATGTGGATGGTAATCGTATAGCAATGCTTCTATCAAATACTTACCGCTTTGTTGTTTTGTTGTCCACTATTGACATGTAGACCAGCCGCACCAAGTCAACAAGAGCACAGTATAGCCTTCCTTAGATCCACAAATTTTGATCCGAGATATGACGCAAAATTACGCGTGATAACGAGGTGCTCATTTATTCGTCTTCAATTTTTTTGGCGTAGATCCCAAACACTTCCTAAATTTTGCGCACCCACATTTTACGCTCCTGTGCGAGGACAATTATAACTACTTCAACATTTGTTTTCGTGATGCGGATGTTCCCTGTGCGTGCTAATGGGATTTAAATGAGTTTTTGCTTCGTCGTCCAGGTGTTCTTTTGTATGGACACAGAGTGACTTTCTCGTATTGCGGTGTCTTCGCCCCACACTCTTGAAGTTTGAGCAAGCTGTTTCCATATCAAACGGTCACCGTTACGGCATATTATGCACTTTTTTCTTGTACATAGGCGATCATATAAGCGGTTTGGAACTATTTGGTATAAGATTATTCGGTGGTATTTCGATCTTTGTTACCGTTTTATCTAGGCTTGCTTTTTTTGAAAAACGTTCCATATCTGCGCTTATTTCGTTAAGAAAAAAAGTTGGTACATAAGAATTTTGCAATTGGATGAATACATTTATTTATGCAGTATTTTCTTACTGTTTGAATGTCTGAGAAAAATATGATCTTTTCCGCGCCGTATATATATGTATATATATATATATATATGTATATATATATATATATATATATATATATATAAATCCCTTTGCGAACGGCGCCACTTTCGGCTGGCAGGCCGCTCAGACGGCTACGCCGGCGCCTGCTCGGAGGCTAATGTGGTAGTTTTCTAATGGAATTTGTACTTCTCGTCAACATGTGGAATTTCTGTGTCAATCAGTGGTCAGATATGATAGAACAGTTCTCATTAAGTTTATTTTCATTAAAAAACGTAATTGCTCCATTCATAATCTACACTTTCAATGCAAAAAACCAAGATCATGAAAGGCTATATTTAGAAGCTTTGTCGAACATTTCTGCGATATTTTATTTATGCTTACATACAATTTAATCAAATTCACCTTCTATCAGTCTCATCTTTCCATATACTTTGTTGCATGGAGTGCATAAAAATCAATCATGCTGGCTGAAAAGGTGGAAATTCATGAGTAGGTCGTCAAAAATAGTGCTGCTTGTTGCATACGACCCCACTTCATCGATAATTCTTGATATTTCTTGATTTTTAGTGCAGTTCAGTTTCCCATTTTTTCAGAACAATGCATAATTTCGTTCGAGTTCTCTATTCTTAGCTACGGTATGCGAAGAAATTGAGGTACAGAGGAGCGGTTCTTTCCCGTCCTCTCCACCCTTTTAGAGCCCTTCGGTTGAAACGTATCAAAAGTTTTAGTAGTCATTCGATAGATGAAATCAAGTGAACTGGAATAGTACATTCTGTTCTCAAATAGCTCGTTTTTTGAGCTTTAGCAGTGGAAGTAAAATTTTCTTCTACATTAAAGCATTTCTCGCCGGATATACCTTTTTTCGTAAGCAAGTGATGATTATTAGATAAAGAACATCTAAGCAATTTTTAAGGTTTACTTGACTTTGATAAAGGACTACTTAGAGTGTTGTAACGGTCAAGAGAAGATTGGATCTCACAAATTTTCCAATCTTTAATGTCGCATTCTGTCTTTACTCTTAGGAAAATTGCTTTTCCTGAAATTGTGAGAGTTATATTAACCGTTCGATAGTTTAAATCTTGGAAATTTTGATGTTATACTTCATTATACCTTTAATTCGAGTGTTCTATTAAGACCATGCTCAAACTTCAATATATCTCATAATTTTTTTTTTCGTTTCGAGTGTTTTCTTAAGACCACAGCTCAAATTTCAATATGCCTGACAATCATTATTTGAGCCACGCATGTCAGTGGTCTGTCAATGAGGGCTGACTTATAGAGCCCGATACAGGTGTTTCGATCTTACGATCTCGTCAGTCGGGCAGTTACCCTTTCTCGTCTTTTGCTAATCTCTGTGGGCGCTCCAGTCCCCACAATAAGAGCTAGCGACGACGAACGCTTTACACTCTATGTTCAGTGAAAAACTCACCAAACACAGAGTGTTGTACACTCGAATGCTCGTGGCTAGTATATTCAATATATCATATCTTTCGTTTCAAGTGTTTTCTTAAGACCACAGCTCATTATTGTGGGGACTGGAGCAACCCACAGAGATTAGCAAAAGACGAGGAAGGGTAACTGCCCAACTGACGAGATCGCAAGATCGAAACACGTGTATCGGGCTCCATAAGTCAGCCTTCATTGACAGACCACTGACATGCGTGACTCAAATAATGATTATCAGGCATATCTCATACCTATTATTTAAGCCAACATATCATGTGATCTGTTAATGGGCTCATGTACAGCCCACACGTCGTTCAGTCTCGTCAGTCGGGCAGAACGCGTCGTCGTCTTTAGCCAATCGTCGGGGCGCTCATTCCCCTATACTAAGAGGAGACGCCGACGAACGATTTGCATTGTAAGACAAGTGGGAGTCTCACCGAACATAATAATGTTAATAATGAGTAAATTGAAGTTTGAGCGTGGTCTGAATAAAACAATCGAAATGACGGCATAATACTACAAAAATACCAGCAAGCGAGTGTATAACACTGTAGGTTTGGTGATTTTCTCACTTGACTTACAGTGTAAATCGTTCACCGTCGCCTGCTCTTAGTATAGGACAGTGAGCGCCCCAAGAGAATGGGCTAAAGACGACGAGTTCTGCCCGGCTGACGAGACTGTAAGGTTCGAAACACGTGTACAGGGCTGCATTAAAGCTGATTAACACACGACATGACATGTTTGCTCAAATAATGATTATGAGGTATACCTCATTCTTAAAATGGCTCCCTTAATGTGCACAATGAAAAATAAAAATATCTTCTACACTCAAGCATATCCAATTGAAGTTAGCTTTTCCTTCTGGACTTCTAATAATTCTTCGATAGCTCAAATCTCGACAATTTCCACAATAACTTTGCAAATACTTTGTTTTCGAAGAAAAAACTCTTTATTATACTGTAGCAGTCAAAAGAAGATTAGGTTTGCAGTTAGTTGATGTCTTGCTAAGGGCACGGTGACTTGAAGCCAATTTCGCTTAATCCCACCCTTTTTTGGCGCGAAACCCAATCTTCTTTTGATTACCACAGTTCACTGAGGAGTCCTCTATAGAAATAAACTACGTCCTTGGAATTGCTGAGATTTACACTATGGGATGGTTATTAATTGTTCATTAAAAAAATTTTATCCGGCTTTAAATCCTTAAATGTAAACAGAATTTTATTTCACTGTTACAGCCCAAAAAACAAGTCATTTGATAAACAAATACAAAGTTCACTTGATTTCAGCTATCGAATGAATACTAATGATCTAGTGTTATAGGTCTTTTCTAGAAAAAAATCAAAGTCTCACAATCGCAATCCTCAAAATGC